TCTTGCTATTGCTCTTGCTCTTTCTATTGCTCTTGCTATTGCTCTTGCTCTTTCTATTGCTCTTGCTATTGCTCTTGCTCTTTCTATTGCTCTTGCTATTGCTCTTGCTCTTTCTATTGCTCTTGCTCTTGCTCTTGCTCTTGCTCTTGCTATTGCTTTTGCTCTTGCCGTTCTTCCTCTTGCCGCTCTTGCTATTTCTTTGCTCTTGCTATTTCGTTTGCTTTTGCTCTTGCTATTGCTATTGCTATTGCTCTTGCTCTTGCTCTTACGCTTGTTGCTGCGTAGCGCCTGATGCGCGTGCTGTTTTCGCTGTCTCGTGTATATCCTCCTACGCTTGTGGGGGTGTTGGGCTCTCTGTGTGCTATGCTGTGACTCAGCTGCTGTCAAGCGTTCCTTCCCCCCTGCTTCAACTTCGAAAGAGCAGCACCACGTGCACCTCACTTGCCGCAACTGCAGCAGCAGCAGCAGCTTTGCCTCAGGTGCCACTTTTTCAAGTCTTGTTGCCGCTGCTTTACGGCTCAGTAGCCGAGGCAGCAGAGCAGGAGCGGCATACTCTGCGTGCTTGCCTTCTGCTTCTCTCGGCTGCAAGAGCTACCCGTCTGCGTCCTCTTTCTTCAGAAGTAAGTACGCAACACAGACAGCAGGTCGAGCCGCCAAAGCAGCAGCGGCAGCAGCAAAAGCAGCAGCAAAAGCAGCAGCAGCGACGCCGATCTCACAGTAGCACTACGTATTGCGACGTTGTTTTGCTTTTGGCCGCTGCAGGTGACACGTCTTGCTGCAGCATATCCTGAAGCTTCCTTTACGCCGACAGCTGCGAATACAGCACCAGCAGTAGGGGGAAGCAGTACGCCTGCTGCAGCCTCCGGTGAAAGTGCTCATGCAGCAGCGGCAGCAGCAGCAGCAGCAGCCGCAGCAGAAGCCGCATGGGGAAACAGGATGACGTCGCTGTACTATGGCAGCAAATCGTCTCTGCTCTTCTTTTGCAAAGTAAATTGTGCAGCCGTTGCGGCTCGCCATTTGTTGCGCTGCTTGCGGCACCAGCAGCAGCAACTGCAGCAGCAGCAGCAACAGCAGCGCGCGCAGCAGCAAGCGTCCCCACAACCACAGCAGCAGCAGCAGCAACAGCAGCACAAAGTGCAGCAGCTGCACCTGCAGGTGGAGACAAGCCGCATGCTCGTCCCTATGCTGCAGCTAATTCGTATGTTTTCCTGGCGATTGCTGTTGCGGCTGCTGCTGTTGCAGCTTGGGGATAAGACCGTGCATGCGCGCTTCACTCCGCAGATGCTGCCTTTTGTTGTTGTCATTCTTTGTATAGGGTAGTAGAAGGGTTGCTACTACTACCACCCCTACTACTGCAAACGACACCCCGAATGTACTGCAATACAAATTGTGAGAATGCCTCCCGTGTTGTTGCAGATGCTCTGGATGCCCCTGCGACGGTGAGGCAGCAGCTGCTGAGCCTTGCAGTGTCTCGTAAGAACTGCTGCATGGATTTGTGGCAGCTGCAGCAGCTGTTGCTGCAGCTGGCGCAGCGTAAGCAGCTCCTTCTGCAGCGCCTGGAGCATCATGACGAAGCTCTGCAGCTGTACGGGCAGCAGCAGCAACAGCAGCAGCAACCGCTGCAGCTGCAGCTGCATAGCACACCAGCAGTTGCTTCTGCTCTCGCTTTCGATGTCAGTGAAACGCAGCACTCGGTGAAGGTACGGCACTTGCGCAATTCTCGCTGCCGCCATGTGAGCTGCATGCGTTTCTGCTGCTGCTGCTGCTGCTGCAGTTAGCCTTCGCTGCGTCTTTTGATGCTGCGCTTCAGGAAGCATGTGCCTTATTCGCTGCTTACCTCGATACCCTCTGCATGCGCGTCTCCAGCGAAAATGTTGTTTTTCTTCATCCCACCCAGGAGCTGCTGCTGCCGCGGCTTCTAAAGGAAGAGCAGAAGCAGCAGCCACTGCGCAAGATGTGCTTGAAGCAGCAGCAGTATGCCCTTCTGCCAGCTCTCCTCACCTCCCCCCTGGCTGTGCCTGCTGCAAAGGAACTGCAGTCGCTGCGGAGGCTCATGCATGCGCTGCAGCAGCAAGCATGCGGAAGCCTCCGAGAGGCTGCAGAAGCCGCCACGTCTCCAGCTGATCTGCTGCCAGCCTTACTCACACCTCCTCGCGATGGCGATGCTCAAGGTATTCGCAGCAGCAGCAGCAGCACCGCACAGATGCTGCACCTACCTCTGCTTCTGCAAGTGTTGTTTAGCTGCTGGCGGTATCGCACTGCAGCAGCAACATCTGCCAATGAACGCGCAACAGCGGCAGCAGCAGCAACATCGCCCGTCAAACCCAGCTTGCTGCTCGCTTATGAAGCACCTTCACAACCAGCATCTTTACCAGAGCAGCCGCCACAGCAGCAGCAGCAGCCACAGCAGCAGCAGCAGCAGCCACAACATCGAAGCTTGGCCTCTGATATGTCCCCTCTCGTTGCTGAGCTGCATAGACACCTCAAAGCTGCAGCTGGTTCTCTTCCTGCAGCAGACGGCTCTGCAGCAGACGCAGCTGCCGCCTCTCATTGGCTGCAGCTTCTGATGCTGCAAATGCCGCTCGACGCCATAGCAACAGGACTGGCCGTAAGTAGCCGTCGCTGCGTGTGCTGCGCATACTTCGAAAGCGAAAAAGCCGCTTTTGCTGCCTCTGCGAACGGCTGACAAGTCACCACGCCTCCCAGTTCTGCTGTTGTCTCAGGCGATAGACGAGGAGCTGCACCTTGCAGCCCATGACGCAGCCGCTATAGCTGCACAGGAGCAGCAGCAGCAGCTGAGGAATAGCTGCGGAGACGTTGCAGAATACCAGGCAGTGCTTGGAGAGCTGTATGGCTTCTTGAGCCGTCTTTTTGATCAACGGCTGCAGATGGCAACGGCGGCAGAATTGTCTCTGCTCGCCGTTCGAACTCCGTACCTCGCAAGGCTGCCACAGCGGCTGCCGCTGCAGCAGCAGCAGCAGGAGGAGCATGAGACGAAGCACCAGCAACAGCAGCAGGAACCCCAGCAGCAACAGATGCTGATACAGCATGAGGAGCTGCAGCGGAAACAGTTTTTTTTCACAGCGATCCGCGACGAGTTGATTGCGCGTATTGCGCGGGTTGGCGCTGCAGCATCTCCAGCCGCTGCATCTGGTGCTCCAAATCCTGTGCATGCAGCCCCTTCAGCCGCTGCAGCATCTTCAGCCGCGGGTGCATCAGCTTCGCATGCGAGCGCCGAGCTATTGCTGTTGCTGCAGCTCTTGTCTGGTACTTCTGACTACGTGTGGGGTGTTATCCGAAGGAGCTGGGGGAAGGCTGGAGAGGCAGGTCTGTGCAGCACAATGCAGCAGCTGCTGCAGCGGCTGCATGAGCTGCCGCTGACTGATTTTGTGAGCTGTCTTGCGGCGTTAGCACGCCTGGATGTGCTGCAGCAGCTGCCTCCCAGTGCTGCCGTAACGGATCTTCCTGCGGCAGCAGCAGGTGAGCAGCAGCAGCAGGAGGAGGCGCAAGCGCTCTTGCAGCAGCAGCAGGAGGCGCAAGCGCTCTTGCAGCAGCATCAGCAGCACCTGCGTTTGCTGCTCCCGCCAGAGACCTCTTCAGTGCAGCAGCCTGCAGATGCGAGCAGTTCTTGCAGCAGCACTGGCAGTGACGCCGCTGCCGCCGCTGCCGCTGCTGCCGTGCATGTGGTCATAAGGCGAGCGGTGTATACGCAGTTGAAGCGCCTCACTGCCTTCTCTGCGCTGCAGGATGCCTCCGTCAACGTGGTGAGTGTGTAGGCGCCTCCCCACATCTGCACACGCTGCGGCAGCCAGTCTCTGCACATGTATGCGAGTAGAAGGCGTCGTGCAGCGTGCTGCGCAGACTGCAAACACGCGGATTCTCGTGTGCAAATGCTGTTCGGCGGCTGCGCAGGCCCCCTGCCTACTATGGAGTCTCTTCCCGCTGCGGTGTATCGACATCCAGTGCCTCGCACCTCTCTTCGAATGGTACGGAGGGGGGCGAGGGCTAGTCTTTAGGGTTGCGTATCTCCTGTGAGGCTTTTTGCCGCGCTGTGCGGAAAGAAGACTCCTCCTCCCTCTTTCCTTTTTCCCCCGCGTGCAAGGTGTCTCCCCATTCGCAAGGCGCGAACAGGTGGCAAGCCAGTCTTTCCAGCCCCCTGCGATGCCTCCATGCATGCGCATGCACTTGTGCTGCACCTGCACTGCCGCACACCTGTTCTGCGTGCACTTTATTCCACTGCCTCCCTTCTCCTCTGCTACTCTCGAGCGTCTAGTACTTGGAGGTGTTTCCATGCAGGCTCGAACTGAGGCTTTTCGACTCTTCAGCTCCTGAGCTGCGCCAGCCTGCCACTGCCCACCGCCTCGTGGCAGCGTGGCAGCACTTGCAGGTCAGTGTCTCTTAGGCAGGCGATCCTGGTATGCCATGTGTGGTGTGGAGAAGCATGCGGTAAAGAACGGAGCTGGAGGCTCAAGGCGAAGCGCAGCACGCGTGCGATCCGTGGCGTATCCGTTTCTTTCGATCGACAGCGCTCACTGCTTTCGCCTGCTACAATCCTCACTCCGCGTGGCTGAGCATTTTTCGCAGGAAAGACAGTATGTAGGCATCAGAAATGAGCTGGCCAGGCGCTTTCCTCGCGGGACTGAGGCGCTGCAAAGCCTTATGCTGCAACACCTGCAAGTACAAGACTCCCCCAGCAGCAGCTGCAATAGCAGCAGCAATGGCAGCTGCAATAGCAGCAGCAATGGCAGCAGCAATAGCAGCAGCGGGCTTTGGACTGCAGTGGCGTGGGCAGCTGCACAAGCGCCTTTGCTGCAACAGTTGCAGCACGCAGCAGCAGCAGTCGCCGAGGCGGCTTCTGCTGTTTCAGCAGACCCTCTGGAAGCCCCCTTAAGCGGCATGCTGCCTCTGGGTGTAAGCGCTGCCGATCAGTTTTGCTTGAGGAGGCTTCTGAAGAGTTGTTTGTCTCTCTCGCTTTGTCTGTTGTGCCGCGTTTGCTGGAAGGTTATCGTGCCTTGCCCAAATCCTCATGTTGAAAATCCTGCGACTGCTGCTGCTTGCGTTGCAGGAGGCGGGTGTCGCCTTCGTGCTGCCATCTAGGAGCCTTCTTGTTGCTCTTGCGCCTCTCGGGGGAGCAGCAGCAGCAGCGGCAGCGTCGGATGCTGCGGCAGCAGCCCGTGCGCCGACACCCCTGCATGAGATGCCCTGCCACTTAACTCTGGATCTCGTCTCTGCGGCGCACCTTGCACCCATTCTTTTTGAAGCGGAAGGGGAGAAGGAGGCGGGGGAGCTGCCGCAAGGGAAGGGGCAGCAGCAGGAGAAGGAGGAGAAGCGCTGGCGGCTTGAAATGGCGGTTTGTGGACAGCAGCAACAGCTGCTGCCGTCCTTCTCTGCTGATCTACGGTGCAGATATACTGTGCGCCAACTCGCCGACAAAGCAAGAAGCCAAGCCCTCAGGTAGGGTATGAAAGTTCAGATGTGCGGTGTGGCTGTGCAACAAAGGTTTGCTAGAACATGTGTAGCGACTAGCAGGGTGGTAAGGGTCTGCGGTGCTTCCTACGCAGGCTTATTCTTGTTGATCCAGCAGAGCCTCAAGCTGCCCAAAAGATTCTCGCCGAGGCGCTAAGCAGCCGCTAGGGGCAGCTCGGAGAGTCTGATTCATCAGCATCGTCTTACGGCGTGCCGGGAGATACACCTGACATGCCCTCCTTGTGAATGCCAGGAGTCTCTCGCGCTTCAGGGTTTGCATCCCGGAAGAGGCCATGGCAGCGGTTCGTTTCATGGTGCTCACTAGAACCCCCACGGTGGTTCGTACGGGGTGAAACTGCTAGGATCCTGGCTTCTGCGTAAAGCCTTGGGATGCACACTCGACTGCACTATCTAGTCCAACCCCAAACTATTCATTCCACTGGCAGGATGCCACTCCGTTTTAACCGCAGCACTTGCCTTCGAGGCTTAGGCGCAGACTTGATAAAACAGGGTTCTTGCATTAGGATTTGTTGACGGATACTTGCCGAGCAGGGCGGACCATGCAGAACTGCGGTCTGCGGATTGACAGCCGACGCCTGCTAACTTTCATTGTATTTTCAATTTCCGTTGTGAATATCTGGCGTGTACGCTCGCAGTGAGGGGCGGTTACACCATGGAAACCATTAGAAGCATACCATTAACTTCCTTGGCCCCACAAATGTGTTGCTCCCGCGCTTGCGCGAGAAAAATACATTTCCCGATCAGCTCGCTGGTCATAATATTTGCTCATCATTCGCAAGCATTTCTTTCTCCTGTATCTCATCTACAGGCTGACGTTTTCACTCTTCCACGGCACACGTAGTTCGCCAGGCAGCCAAGCGGACGGATTGCAGTGGGCACCACAGCAGGCGGGACCATCAATGTCCATTTTTGCGGATACTCTCAGCAAATAACGCGACTCAATGAGATATATATGCTAAGATTTTGTAAAAACATCCAATTACCCGTTCCGAAAGCCAATTTCCGCCTGCTAGCGCGTACAGTAGCAGGACACCAGTGGCATGTGAAAGTCCATTGGTTCAGTTGCTCGACTCCTACATCCCTCGCCATAACTTTACGATTAACTTAGCGTAGAATATGGTCTTAAGCTTTATAGTACCACGTAAAGCAAACGCAGACACGTGCTTCCGAAGAAGCAAGGATTCAACATGCACCCGAGGCACCTGATCGAGGTATTTGGCCAATTCATGGCAACTGCTTTTCGGTGCTGGTCGGTTAAAGCCTCTGCTCTTTGTATTTGAATGAGGATACTGGATATTACACTTCATATTACACGCTATAAGTCTTTTTGACCCATTATTTTCCCTTGAACACACAAACAAGCCAGCAGCACTTTCCAGCAGCTGTGGACTACCGCTGCAAGCAGACAGCGGGAGAGTCGTATGTCCTCGACGTCGCAGTCCAGCTAGCTGAATTTCGTCCTTCTTGCGGCTTAAAGTTCCTTCGCTTGTCGCTCAGTTACTTCCATTTCCTTTAATTTTCTTCCTCGGAGTTTTCCTCTTGTCAATTGACGAACCTCCACTCCGTTGAAAGCAAAGTCGCAGCAGGAGATTTCTCATTTGCAACTCATTTTTAAAAAAATGAAACTCATCGAGACTGCACTCGTCGCCACTGCCCTTGTGGCATCTTATTCATTTCCTTCAGAAGGTAGAATTTATTGCTAAGGCCTCTTGACTTCATGAGCTGCGGTTTCCATTTTTCCTGTTTCGTCCCCTAGACTTGCATTCGCTCGGCTTCTGGATAGCCTAGGCAGGGTAGTCAGAGCGCGTCTTCGAACTTTGCGGCTTACAGCCTAGATTTCAAAGTATATTACATGTTATTTGTGGTGCAGCTCTGAAGGTCGGAGGGATTCCCCAGCAACACCTGCAACCCGCGGCGGCCTTTGCCGAAGTGCAAGCGCAAGAGCAGGCGCTGCAGCAGATACGGGACGCCAGTAAGGCCGTAGTACTCATTTAGGCTGTGAAATATATTGCTTAGCTTAGCTCTGATTTATAGTATGGGATTCGTGGCTTCTCAGCCTCATGTTATCGATGAATAAAAGGTTTCTGCGTGACTCAAAAAATGCCTGGTGCTTCGCACTGAACCTCCATTTTCCAGTCCTTTTTGTCTGCTAGCTTGTTCTCTCGCTTGCCTCTTCACCCCCTCTGTAGGGCTTTCTGGAAGCTTTGTTTCAGGGGCTGTGTGGCTTCTTCCCGGGGGTGCAGCTCCATCTATGGCCTACCCTCCCACCTATTTGTTTAGTTTGGTGGCCATGTGTCTCTTCATCATGGATGCGAGCTGTTTGTGCCCGCGAAGAGCTTCCGTTTGCCGTCTCGTATTCTGTTTGCAGTCGCGAAAATATCTTCAAGTAGTTCAGATGATCCAGAAGACGCGGATGGAGAGAGCACCATGCAACGCCAGCTCTTGGTGGCGATCACCCCTGCAATGCGCACCCTCATGAGGTCGTTAGCAATGTCCATTGCTCCCCAGCTCAAGGATGAGTGCGACAAGATCGTCGCAGACCTTACGGCAGCGGCAGGTGGTGATCTTGATGAAGGTAAAAGGTCACCTCAGAAAAACGGAAACACACATGCTTTTGGATAGCCGGGGGAGCAGCAGACTGGGGAGAGTGAATGAGGAGCAAAGGGGGAGCAGCATACAAAACGTTGTCTCCCACGTATATACATGTATCTACTTGTGGGCACGAGCAGTAGACAGTCTAGGGAATAGCAGCGTTAGAACTTTGTGGAAAAGATAAGTTTTGGGTGGCAACGTGAATGAATCTAGCCATGAAATATTGTGGAGGGACTTAATTTTCCAAGGGAAAACATCAGTGTGTAGAGCAAACATAGTGCTGTTAGTTCTCAGTGGCACACAATAAGACCTTCTGATTTTGGTTTGTTGCGCAGCGCGCTATGTTCAATTCCTTTTGCTGCACTTTTGTCTTTGTCATTTTCGCTGTCAGATCTAGGCCTAGGCGACTTCTCCTTCCAGCAGCAACAGCAGCGGCAGAAGGTAACTGCCCAGAGTTTCTGGGATACCGTGAAGAAGAACCTGGGCAAAGTTGCAACCCTCGCCGCTCCCCTTGTCGCGAGTTTGGCGGAGAAGTTGGGACCCATGGTGGAAAAGCTTGGCAAAAAAGCTGCACCCGTTTTCGCAACGCACATCGCCAGCCTGATGCACGAAGCCTGTCTCATAGCCGAGCAGGAGGCAGGGGTGGAACCCGTCGAAGCAGTGTAAGCATCGACAGGACCAGCAGGAGCAGCTAAGGCAGAGCTGCAACACTCGCGCCGCTGACGGGTGTTTGAGATTCACAAAAGCAGAGGAAGCGGACACAAAATTACTTATCTGCGTGCATACGAAGAACTGAATGCGGACAGACAGCAATTGCGTCTTCGATGCATACGATAGTTGTGCTTGGGGCTCTACACTCCAGCGGCAGAGCCGCAGGAGGGGAGCACTGAACGTAAACGCCTTTCTGGTGGCTTGTATCTTCCTATGTATATATACCTATACAAATGTCTACCTGTGGGTGCACACACGTAGGAACTCTTGTTAGCCCCCCGTTACGGCGGCATTCATACCCGCAGCGGGAGCTATGATATGTATCATTATGCAGATATGCAGTTTCTTCCACTTGCGCTTACATTTGGGAATTCTAATATCCCCGATGCATGTATAGATATATATATATATCTCTGAGGCTCTCTCTCCCTCACGTGCAAGCATTCGAACACGAAGCCGTTGTCGTTGTCAAGGGTTGCCCTTTTCTTGGCGCTGCTGATAATGAGGCAGCAACATAGGAAAGATCGCTTTAGAAATAAGAGAACCACCAACTACATCTCATGTCCACCGCCGACTCCCCCCCGCCTCGCGTAATCGAGATTTGTAGCGGATGCTCTAGTGAATCGGCAGGGACGAAGAGGGAACAACAGCAATATCGGCAGGAAAAGATTGCACAGGCTTTGTCCAGAGGACACCACCACGTATGGGAATGTTTCGCGGATTATGTATTGGGTTGTGGTGTGCCGTATACTTTATAAGTAGCTATGCGCTCAACAATCATACATACACGTGAAAGTCAAGGGGTGCATGAGGTCTGCAACGACGCTGTTGATCTTCGGATGCCTCGCGTCTGCAGTGCGGAGCTGCGCCCATTGTTGTTTGAAGTAGAGCATGAACTTAGACCCAGCCTCGATTTGAGGGTAGCATGAATGAAAGGGGCCTCACACGCACTGCAATGGCAGCATACACTTGGTGTATAACCGAACGTGGAAGAGAGCTGTCAGTCAGCAGTGAACGGCTCTTCAAAGTAAGTGTTGGGTGTTTCTAGAATACATATGTATGTCGATTAAGTCGAACACGTGCCCTAGAAACGGCTTTCTGAGTGAGAAAAAGGGGATGCGGCTCCCAGGAAGGGGTAGCGACCTATCAGATGAGTACTGCGTACAGTTGAAGAAAACGAGATTGGCTTGTTAGGGCTTCGAGCGCCGCCTACTACGCAGCTAGCTAGTGAGCAAGCTAGTACACGCTGGTATATACCTTAAGGTCTAAGCTAAGTAAGATCCATCAGATGCCGTCACGTTAAAATGGAGCAGCTGGTGACCAGCAGTAAAGTGAAGTTCTTCAGTGCTCTAGCTCTTGAGACTTTGCTTTCATTTCTCTGGCTTCAAGTGCCTCGGAGATATTTCTGATACGTCTCCAGACAGCGCCCTCCATTGTGGTATCGTCCTCCCCATCGCAGCATCCTGAACGCCATTGGGAAAGCCCATGTATACCTTGATTTTGTGTTGAGCGAAAGAATTTCTCACCTCCGTAGTTGTAATTCTGAATACTTATCGGTGGCGCGTTACTGGCCGCTGCTGTTGCTATGGGTGGTGTTGCTGCTGGTGGGGTTGCGGCTGGTAGTATTTCTGCAGGCACAGGTTCCTGCTGTGCCGGAGCTGCTACAAGTTCTGCTTGTGGTACTGTCTCCGTTTCTTTTGGGAGTGATGCTACTGGCAGTTTTGCTGCCGGCGGTTCCCCTTCCGGTTCTATTGAACGGGTAAATGGTGGCAACTCTTGTGACTGTTGCTGCTGCTGTTGTTGCTGGTGCTCCTGCTGCTGTTGCTGTTGGTGCTCCTGCAGCAGCTGCTGCTGTTGCTGTTGGTGCTTGAGGATCTCCGCTAGCTGCTCCTGATGCTGGAGCATTTGCTGGTGCTGTTGCTCCTGCATTTGCTGTTGTTGCTGTTGCAGTTGTTGCTCCATCTGCTGCTGCTGTTGAGCCAAAGAATGCAAGTCCGCGATTTTTTGGTTTAGTCCCTGAATCGCATCCAGGACGGGTGCCAGCTGCCCACACGAGTAGTGCAGTTTGGGATCAGTGTTACTTGCACCAAAAGCCTATGGATGTATTCGTCATTGCAGCTGGCGTACCTCCCGTTGTTGCGATTCAGGATACATATGTGGCATCAGCTGCTGCTGCTGGCTTGGGTACTCAGCTCGTGGATGCTCTTGCTGTTCCTGCTGTTTCAGCTGCTCCTGCTGCCTCTGCTGCTCACCTTGCAGATACAGCTCGCGCTCCCTGAGTTCTTCTTCCTTCTCTTCGAATTCTGAGGAGCCTTCGGCATTCTCCGGTTCAGGCCCCACAGGTGGAGGGGGAATCGAGGGCCTTTCCTCTGGGGGTGGCCCAGCAAATAGTCCCTATAAAAATAAAAAAAATTTGATATAAAGACTCCGAGAGGATTTAAAGGGGGAGGCTCACCGATGGTTGAGGCATAGGGGGTGGCGCTTATTGGGCAGAAGATGGACATATTGTGTGGATGTTTGCGCCATGTCTTCGCGTTCCACAAGGCATAAAAAGACTCACGGGTAACGACGTTAATGATAATACCCTACAACGCAATTGCAGTGAGCGAGCTTGCAGCCCTTGATCTAGTGCTTGCCTTCAGGCAGTTGCACTCACTCCTCTCTCTGGATGCTTTTCCATTGCCGTGCCCTCCAGGGGAATTCCTGGTATAACACCTGCACCCTCTGCGACTCCAAAACTGGGAGGCGCGAATCCGCCTTGTTCTGGTGTTTCCTCTTGGAGCTCTGCCTCGGCAGCCCCCTCTTCGGCTTCTGTCTCCGTAGGTGCAGCCACACCAAATGAGGGACCCTCAAACTGCTCCACTGCGGTGGCGTTTCCTGCTGAAGCTCCGTGTTGGGCTGATACAGGCGGTGCACCATCACCTGTCTCCGTTTCATTTTCTTCTGCTCCATTGGCTGATGTTTCGTGTGTAGGCGCAGCAACGCCGAACTCAGGGGCTTCTAATGTCGTTTTCTTCCCATGTTCATGACTCTCCTCAGCGGCTGTAGCCGACTCCTCCTCCCCCGCCACGCTAAACCCTGGCGCGGAAAAGGTTTCTCCACCTTCACCCGCAGGAGCTGGCGCCTCCCCCAACTCCGCGAGAAGTTCACGGTCCATCTCAGAGGGTTTTTCATTTTTTCCTCGTTTCTGAAAAAACAAGCCATGAGGTTTTGCCTCGTAAGGGTACCCATATTTGCAAATCGTAGGCTTTGCCAGATTGCACAGAACATGCAACTACATCTGCTGCTTCCGGAGCTTACGGAAGGTTTTGAAAAGCGTTTCTTTTTAGAACGAGAACGGGAAGCGCGTTTTTTCTTCTTCCGAAGCGTACTAGAGAGGAAACGCGGGAGCTGCTGGGCACAAACTATTACTGTCAAGACTAAGCGGGCCGAAGGAATCCCTTTGTATCCTACCTCATCCTCTGCTTCTCCCACGTGTTTTTGTGTGTCTACTATGGTATGGGAAAACCTTGGCTTGCGTGGGTGGGCTTCCTGGGCCTAATTTAGCATTGGAGGTATGCCCGATGCAGGGTACATATGTTGCATTACCGCCTGAGCGCGATCAAGGAGAAATGAGTTTTGTGACTCTTTCTGTTTGAACAACCTGTGCAATTATATTCTCTGTGTATTTGGCATGCAACTTGCCTCTGGGCTGCTGCTTGGGGCGGCAGCAAGAACATGCTGTCTATTCTGAAATACAGATCATGCTGCTGCACAATCCTATGAAGGAAAAGAAAGATTGAGGCAAACAAACCAGGCAATTCCTTTCTCTCTGTCCCTAAAGAATTTGAACGACATTGGTATTCATTATTTTAGGTGCTTCCTTCATGACCAACTCATTTGCAAGTCTCACTCTGTATCTTCTTTCTGAAGGGGTGCATCGGCTGTAGGCGAAGGGAAAGACCAAAACGATGATAGCGAAACATTGCAAAGAGATTGGATTCACCATTGGAAAATGTCTAGTGTGATAAAGCCATGCCCGCTCAGTCTTGTTTCAGAAGAAATTAGCACGTGGAGGAAGTCTTCCTAGCAAGGCTGCATGTACACCTGATTTTATGATGAAAGCACTTGCTGGAAGAGCTTGGAGAGCTGATCTCCATTGGATGTAACGTTGTATCAAATTCTGCACCTTAATGAATAACGCTAGGCGTAGTTGCAGATGCTGTCCTACTTTGCTTTCGTTCTGTTCAAATTGATTCCCTCACAAACCGACACCAAAACAGCTGCCAAGATGCACTTTCACACAATCTTTAAGGGAACCGGTTGCGGAAGAAATTTGAATTTCTGATACCCGTAATGCATGAATTCTCTTCATCGAACGCAGCAGGTAACTACCTTAGGGAAATGAGATGCCTCCATACGGATGCCTGGGTCTGTGTGTTCATGAAGCTAATACAGTTGCAAATATCTGTACTTTTTCAGCAGCCACCGTTCCCTAGCGTTTTGTGAGTATTCTAATGAACGTCTTTTGAGAGCATGGGAAATAAGTTTAGGCTGTGAAGTTTGTTCAACGTGCAAACCACAACCACGAATACCCTACATGGCGAAACTCAGCCCGAGTCCTGAGCTCGACCTAGGCGGTTGCGTGTGTAGCAGTAACGAATCCACGAGCCGCAATTTAGTTTGGCGGCTTCGCTACATCTTGCCAGTTGTTGAGCATCAGTTTCTGCACGCATAGTAAAGCCTCCGCCGCGACTTCGCGGTGCTTGCTGCTGATCAGAAGCATTACCTTATCCTTTACCTTGAACTTCTGGCATACCCTGGATACGAAAAACAATAGACACAGACCGCGAAAATGGATTAGAGACGCCCTCTAACTTCGCTTTCGTTGAACTGATCTTCGTCTAGTATCAACTACGCACTGGTGCTTGCCTGCTGTCTAGTCTACGTGGGATTGCGAAACTGTGTTCTTCTTGTGATATGCGCGTTCCGCACGGGTCTAGAGTAATACGTGGATTTTACTTTTTCCCGGCAGGATGGAGCCGTGCAAATTCGCCCAAGTCATAACACGCCACGGCTTGCGTTGTTGGGTCGTCGCTGTCTAGCAATTTCTCGATTTTCTGAATTGTGGCAAATTCGTCCTTCTCAAAGACCATTACGTTCTCGCGCCAAAACTTTTCTGGGCACACATCATAAACCCTAAGCCCGATATCGTGGAGCATCTCTTCGTAGACTCGAGCAATGCTGCTCACGGGTTTTGCTCCCCCCAAGTGCTATAGTCGTATCTTACGAAACAGGCCCTAAATCCTTACCTGAATGGAGAACAGACCACTTGAACTTGCCCTTGTCGAGCTCCATGAGATACCTCTCGAAGTTATTAAACTGTCTAATCTTCAAGTCTAGAGCGAAGATGCAGGCCCGTATCTCGTCGTACATGTCCGGGTCGCGCCATTTCTCAAACTCCAACAAGGTAAGAATCTAAACAGTACCACACCCTGAATTTTGAATGAAACTCGCTGAGTACGACACTTCCCCGCGTGCTCAACAAAATGATATCTCAAGACCAGGCCTTCAGCGGTTTAAATTACACCTCTCTGCTAACCCCTGCAGCCTAACCTGAGCGACATTTTCTTCAACGATAATTTCAACTGCTTCTTCGCACGAGAGGAGATTCTCAACGACATGCAGCCCCACGCGAACAACCTATTAAGCAAGCCGCAAGCGCAAAACCCCAAGTTCTAAAGGTGGCATACGGATGCGCACCAGTGAAAACTGCTCCCGACCCTACAGCCGACCGAGGGAAAAGTGGCGAGCAGTGGTTTCCCAACGTGAAGACTTCGCCGATCGCGCGCTCCACATGAGGAAACCAACAAAACAAGTCTCCACATACCTTCTCAACTCGGCACTCTTTCAAGACTTCGCACGTGGGTCGCAAAATGCCGGCCTCCGTGATCGCCAGGGGAAACCCCTCATGGAAGGAAAGCAGCCACACGCAAAATACCGCCTTATAGATCACTCCTGCGGGTTGCATCAATGACAAGTCATTCTGTAGCCTAGAACGATAAACACATCGCACGCGAGCAGGCTCCAAGCCATGAGCCTCTTCCGCCTAGGAGAGAATTGTCTCATGCAGGCCGTCATGCAGAGCGTGGTAGCCATGCGTGTAGGATAGGATGCAGGGCTAGGGAGTCGAAGGACGCACACATCCGGCAAGCCGCGAGTCTCCCAGACGAGAGGCCTCCACCGATCTGCAGCCGCAACACGCTTAGAGGAACCCTTGAGATTATGGCATTCGGCGTAGCGCGGCTCCCAGCGCCGCGTAGTATTCAAAAGCCACCAGCAATCGCATGGACTTGCACCTTTCCGTGAAGCCCCTTGGCCCTTACCGATTTTGAGAATATTTACCAGCGCGTCGAGCCTGCCAGACTCCGACACGGGGAATTTCTGTTGGATTAGGCCTTGCACGAAGTACTGAACTTGGTCATCTGGGAACGCATGCGTTCGTGCCCGGCTGAATCCACACCCAGCGCCCAGCGTCGAGCACACAGCCCCTACCCACACGTCTCCTTTTCTTCAAAAAAGCGAATCTAGGTGCCTGCCTCTGCGCAGTAATTCCGACCCCTTTCCGCCCCCCGAAGGAAATTCCCTACGAACCACATGAAGCCCGAGAGCATGAACGCTGCTCTGTCTCCGGTGTACGTATCAACGCCCTGCCTCTCCAGCAGCTGCATGAAGTCGCCATAGACGTTGCTGCCGGCGAGCACCCCGCACATCGCCTCATATCTGCTGCAGTTTTCTGAACGGCAAGTCCCACCACAGGCATGCGAGGCAGGCAAGGCAACCTCAAGACAAAGGGTGCTGGAAAACGGGGTTCTGTGCCACTCGCTCTCCATCCTTCATGCCGGTTCGCCAGCACCCCGCGAACAATGAGTTGTACAAACTCTATGTCCCCGTTCAGCGAGTCTTTGAGCGTTTCGCATGCAAATAGGGGCAATTATTATCGCGTAGCCCAAAAAGTGATGAAGACGCGTTGGCGTTTCAGATTCGAGTCGCCCGTCGTGCAGAGATGCACGGTGCCAAACGCAGCGCAAGATTTATGTTCAGAATTTTCACTCACCTCTAACAGCTTCGTAAAGTACGGTGAGAGCATACTGTGCGGGGTGCAAGTCCGCCTCAAGTCGCAACACGGAAACCAAGGCAGACACCATGAGGGGCTCCTGCATCGCAGCCTCCGACAGCGTACAGTGCAGGAAGCCGTAAGCACTGAGCCTTGAGCGCCAGCTCCTGGCTGCTGCCGTCACACGTGTAGTACTGTGTGTGTCTTAGAAAGCTGCACGAAAAGTTGTATTAGCGTCTTTGCGAGAATAATCCGGGGAAGCCTCCCTCCCTAACGTGCATGTTCGCAGGCAGGTGCCCCTAGGGGGATTTCGCACTCGCCTACCTCTTCAAAGGCGTTGGATCGCTCCTCCGGCGTCATACCGTGCAAGGTCGATAGCGCAGCTGCCATGCCTTTTCCGATTAGACCTGCACCCTCCAAAAGAGTCCACTCAGGCATTCGCTCCATGACCGCCTCCTGCTTCACCTGCATCAGACAGCACGGCATGCGGCACACCCACGACCAGAAGCTGTAAAGACTCGAACCCTCAGCACCCCGGCTACAGCGCTGTCCACTGATTCAAATTCGGATGAGAAGCGCATGCAAGCACACAGGCAGCCCATCAAGACCCCAGCAGTTGGCGCATTCGGCCCTGTGCCGACGCGCAGGTGTCTGCAACCCGGCAACCCGCAAGAAACACATAGAGCAAGACGCATGCCACACGACCCCTTTTGTCCACGCATCGCTTGAGCGTGACTCCTCTCTAGGCGTGACTCCTCTCTACCAGCGGCAGAAACGGCGCACGTGCCTGACAGTTGGACCCGTCTGCTCGGACGAGCTGCCCGAGAAGCTGCACTTGCTCCGTCTGGTCGTGGGAAACATTCATTGGGGGAGTGTTGGTGGTAGCCATCGTCGCTACAAAGATCGCGCCTCGCGGAAATGCGGTTACTGCAGAAGCACGCGGCAAGCGGCTGCCTCGCGTGACACCGCAGCCCGAACGTCCACACTGGGTGCTTCGCCGTGCCGTTCTAGGATCGGCGTCGAGGCAAAGCCTAAGAATGCAAGTGCATTAGGTGCGAGTGGTCAGACGCGGGGGCGCACGGAGGGGGCAGGGGAAGGGGCAGGAGAAGGGGGGAGAAAAAGCCGCTGCTTGGGCTGCAAGCGTCAGTGTTTTCCTTGCGAGGCCTAGCCAGCAGCACTATTTGCCGCAGCCAAGCACGCGAAGGCCATAAACTCCAAGGAGGCTCCGCTTCGCAGAAGAGGAGCAGCCTCTGGGTGCAAAAAGAGTCGCGTAGGCGGCGGATGTTGGTCGGCGACTGTCGTCCACGGCTGCGCTCGAGAGGCCCTATTCCTCCTGGTTTCGCCGATGCGACTTCTATTGGTATCGTTGATCGCGCCACACTTGTTGCTGCGTCTCATGCCGCTGGTCTCGTTCTTGGCACCCGCTGGCTAGCCCCTAGGTCGGAAGGCCTCTAGGGGATGGCTGGCACACGAGAATTGAGGGTGTACAGTCTCCGCCTAACTCAGCAGCCGCATACCATGAATCAGAGAGGCAGAATATATATCTCGTGACCTCGTCTGCCGGCCACATGTGAGTAGGAGTCCAGGCAGTGCGCGCAACTGCATGAGAAGCCATGGTTCCTGCTCATGCGTGTTCTCGGGGCTGCAGGCATGCATGCTCTCCGTCTTTCGATCGGAAAGCTAGGCTTTAGAAAGCCATTAAGCCCTCTTTTAATTGAGTTTGGTACATTTCTTGCAGCTTGAGCGCCGCGGCTAATCATGCGGCTTTCAGCTATTGCGGACTGACGCGCCCTCCAGAACGCCCTTCATGGGGTGTTAGCGGCATAAGTCCGCAATCTGAAGGCAGAGAGGAGCAGCAACCAAGCTCTTAGCCACAGCTCTGTAGTGTAAAGCCTGGATTCTGGCTGTGCATTGCGTTGCTCGGAGGAATCTCCCCGTTCACGAACGGAGCCGGCCCGCGTTGCCGCGCGCGCGACGGTGTTTCTCCCTTTCCGCTGTTCAGGAAAACGGAAATACGATGAGCTCTGAGAATACGGGAGAATCTCGCTTGCGGCGAACGCTGTACGTGGGGGGTCTGTCTGAAGAGGTGAATGAAGAAATCTTGCGAGCTGCCTTCTTGCCCTTTGGCGACATTCGGGAAGCAACCATTCCCAAGGACAGGGCAACTGGTGAGTCGGTGCTGCTGCGCATGCTTCTCGCGGTTTCTCGCATCCTCGATTCACGGAGTTGGGGCGAGGCGCTGCGTCTGTGTGGCCAGTGTACGCAGGAAGGCTAGGGCGATGCCTCTCCTGTTGCGTTTGCACCGCATCGAGTTTAAAGCCGCTGCCGCCGCGTTGAGCGCGTTCGTAGGGGCTGCTCCTGTAGGCGCAGCTGCTGATGAGGCTGATTCTCTGTGCTGGTTCTGTGCATTGAGAACTGCTGCCTGTGGATTCCACGCCCTCATGATGATGATGCGCTGCAGGCGGCCACAGAGGCTTCGGCTTCGTAGAATTCGAGGAGGAGGAAGACGCGCAGCAAGCGGTAAATGCTATCGGAGAGCAGGAAAGGAAATGGCGGATATGCGCGAGTGACAGCTCTGGGGGCCTGTGTAGTTGCATGCGACGTTCAGGTTTGCAACTTGGTTTCGTTGTGCAATTCAGGTGCTGAACATGAACAACTCTGAGTTGTTTGGCCGAACGCTGAGAGTCAACACTTCTCGCCACGGTCCTCAGGGGGCAGCCCCCAAAAACAGAGCAGGTCAGATGCTTCTGCTGGTGCACACGTTGGCGGCTTTCGTCTTTGCGGCTTGCGGTGCAACGCCGCGGAGGACGCGCAATGGGTTGCCGCATGCTCGATCTTCAACGAAATCCGAGTAATGCCTGTGTTTTTTGATGATGTGCCGCCGCAGTGTGGCAGGATGATTTCTTTTTCCGCGAGGAGATGAACAAACGAGGGATGGCCGTTGACGCCGGCCTGGTGAGGAGCGCTGCTGCTGCTGCTGCTCGGGTGTCTCGCTCTTCATGCCTTCCCCGTTGTTGTTGGCTCCCGAGTGCGTACGCTGCACGAAAGAGGCCTTTAAACGATGTGGCGGCGTTTCACGCTGTATCTCCGTGCTTGCCGCACGCCTTCTGCGCCTGGTGTATGTCGCAGGACCAGACGGACGAGATGCGGGGAGCAGCAGCGAACACTGAATAGGCTATCTACAGACTGCTGCAGTTGCGCGCACTGCTCTACCGCGGCTAGAAAGACAGCGAAAGCTGCCGCTGTGTTGCGTTGCGGCGCAAGCGTGTTTTCGGATGCCAGTGTGTGCCGGCTGTAGCAGCGGCCGGTCATGGCGCAGGTCTGTGCGCAAGCGCGCCGTATGTACACCCGCCGAAGGGGGCCTGAGGCGCCGAAATCTGAGCGCTTGGGGTGTAGCGCATCAAGAAAAACCCTACGCTGGCGGCTTCCACTACAAAGCCACCCACCACTCGTAGCGCTTCGCGTTCCCCTGGTGCAAGTGAGAGGGTGTCCAGTTTCTCGCCCGTCAAAAAGGCGTGGCAAAACAAATTGCGAGCGAGAGACATATTCGGAGGGGCCGTGGTGCGCCGCTTTAAAGCGCACCCTGCTTTTTGTCGCGACGTCGTCACCCCGATGTGGCGTGTCGCTGTGAGGTGGACGTTTCAGAAGGAGGCGCCGGAAAGCCCGCATGCGGCGGGAGGCCTTCCGTGCGTTTTCTGGGCAGCTGCATTTTTATTGAGCTGCATGCTGCATGCCCTCTGCTCGTGCTCGCGGCAGTGTATGTCGGTCGGCGGGCGCCATGCGAATGAGCACTGCTTGGTGTGCGTACAGCTGGTGCGTTTGCTTCCTCGTGTGCCTGCCGATTCATCGTTTGGCACTTGCGAGGCTAAGAGGCGGGGGCCTCGTGCTTCGGGGGCAGCCAGCCACCCCCGGTCCTAGCATCACAGGAACGCAGGCTTCCTGGGAATGCATACGGGAGTTTTACAGCGCGTCTTGCGACGCAACTATGTAGGCAGGCGCACCACCTCTTACACTCGGCCGAACTTCGCACCAGAAAAGGGTGTGTGTGGCATCCGTTCGCAACTGTGCAGCCTCCCCTCCCTCTCTTCTCTGCTCTTCTAGTAGCCCCCGTCTACCCCTCCCTCTCTTCTCTGCTCTTCTAGTAGCCCCCGCCTACCCCTCCCTCCCCGCATGCACCTGTGCGCCGTAATCCCCTGCACTACACTCGTGCCCGTTCCCTGAGTCTGCAAGCCACTTCATAGCTCACTTATCCGACACGAACTTGTTGTACGGCTGCCGCTCTCTCCGCCGCAAGATACTGAGGCCCAAAGCCTCACGCTCCTCCTTCAGTTCCGCAATCCTCTTGTTCACGAACTGCGCGAACACCCCAAACTCTGCAATCCTTTCTTCTGATCCAATAAAGCTCGGCGCAAAGGCCCCTTCATCTCCCTTCCCATAATTTCGCTTGCCTTCCTTCCCCCACCTCTCCCCTAACAACCGATAGGCCACGAGGCCGAAACAACTGCCAGGTGGGGTGCGTGCAAAAGCATTTACACACACACACACACACACACACACACACACACACAGACACACACACACACACACAGACACACACACACACACACACACACACAGACACACACACACACAGACACACACACACACACACAGACATGCATGCACAGACATGCACGTACCAGCCAGTTGCAGGAGATGCCCCCCAGACTGCAGCAGCGCAAAGCCG